CTGTGTCACTGTGTGTGACTATGCACTGTATGAGACTCTGTGGCTGTGTCACTGTGTGTGACTATGTACTGTATGAGACTCTGTGGCTGTGTCACTGTGTGTGATTATGCACTGTATGAGACTCTGTGGCTGTGTCTCTGTGTGTTACTATGCACTGTATGAGACTCTGTGGCTGTGTCACTGTGTGTTACTATGCACTGTATGAGACTCTGTGGCTGTGTCACTGTGTGTTACTGTGCACTGTATGAGACTCTGTGGCTGTGTCTCTGTGTGTTACTGTGCACTGTATGAGACTCTGTGGCTGTGTCACTGTGTGTTACTGTGCACTGTATGAGACTCTGTGGCTGTGTCACTGTGTGTTACTGTGCACTGTATGAGACTCTGTGGCTGTGTCACTGTGTGTGACTATGCACTGTATGAGACTCTGTGGCTGTGTCACTGTGTGTGACTATGTACTGTATGAGACTCTGTGGCTGTGTCACTGTGTGTGACTATGCACTGTATGAGACTCTGTGGCTGTGTCACTGTGTGTGACTATGTACTGTATGAGACTCTGTGGCTGTGTCACTGTGTGTGATTATGCACTGTATGAGACTCTGTGGCTGTGTCTCTGTGTGTTACTATGCACTGTATGAGACTCTGTGGCTGTGTCACTGTGTGTTACTATGCACTGTATGAGACTCTGTGGCTGTGTCACTGTGTGTTACTGTGCACTGTATGAGACTCTGTGGCTGTGTCACAGTGTGACTATGCACTGTATGAGACTCTGTGGCTGTGTCTCTGTGTGTTACTGTGCACTGTATGAGACTCTGTGGCTGTGTCACTGTGTGTGACTGTGCACTGTATGAGACTCTGTGGCTGTGTCACTGTGTGTGACTGTGCACTGTATGAGACTCTGTGGCTGTGTCTCTGTGTGTTACTATGCACTGTATGAGACTCTGTGGCTGTGTCACCCTCTGTGTGTTACTATGCACTGTATGAGACTCTGTGGCTGTGTCTCTGTGTGTTACTATGCACTGTATGAGACTCTGTGGCTGTGTCACTGTGTGTTACTGTGCACTGTATGAGACTCTGTGGTTGTGTCACTGTGTGTTACTATGCACTGTATGAGACTCTGTGGCTGTGTCACTGTGTGTGACTATGCACTGTATGAGACTCTGTGGCTGTGTCACTGTGTGTTACTGTGCACTGTATGAGACTCTGTGGCTGTGTCACAGTGTGACTATGCACTGTATGAGACTCTGTGGCTGTGTCACTGTGTGTGACTGTGCACTGTATGAGACTCTGTGGCTGTGTCTCTGTGTGTTACTATGCACTGTATGAGACTCTGTGGCTGTGTCTCTGTGTGTTACTATGCACTGTATGAGACTCTGTGGCTGTGTCACCCTCTGTGTGTTACTATGCACTGTATGAGACTCTGTGGCTGTGTCTCTGTGTGTTACTATGCACTGTATGAGACTCTGTGGCTGTGTCACTGTGTGTTACTGTGCACTGTATGAGACTCTGTGGTTGTGTCACTGTGTGTTACTATGCACTGTATGAGACTCTGTGGCTGTGTCTCTGTGTGTTACTATGCACTGTATGAGACTCTGTGGCTGTGTCACTGTGTGTTACTATGCACTGTATGAGACTCTGTGGCTGTGTCACTGTGTGTTACTATGCACTGTATGAGACTCTGTAGCTGTGTCACTGTGTGTTACTATGCAATGTATGAGACTCTGTGGCTGTGTCACTGTGTGTTACTGTGCACTGTATGAGACTCTGTGGCTGTGTCTCTGTGTGTTACTATGCACTGTATGAGACTCTGGCTGTGTCACTGTGTGTTACTGTGCACTGTATGAGACTCTGTGGCTATGTCACAGTGTGACTATGCACTGTATGAGACTCTGTGGCTGTGTCACTGTATGCGACTGTGTGAGGGTGCCTGATGTATCAGTGTTGCTGTGTGTGATTGTGTCACTGTGTTGCTGTGTGTGCTTGTGTCACTGTGTTGCTGTGTGATTGTGACATGTTAACAGTAATTGGATATGGGAGTTCATCACGTTGAACCTTTTTCATGTCTCTCTGTAGCGGAGCAGTAGTATTATCCACAGTATCTCAGCTGGTAGACAGGAACAAACAGGCACAAAGCAGGTAAAATCCAGGTAGCGTAGTTACAATCCCTTCCTCCCAAGAACTAGACGACACATAGCTTGGAGGTCAACTGAGGTTTTAATCACAGGTCACAGTATTTATGGGATTCCCCATGCAAGGGGTTTCCCTACTGACATTTCAGGGGTTGTACAGTAGGGGACTACATGGGGAACTGCCCAACACACACAATTTTCATCATACACTGCTGGACGAGAGGGATACTCCCACTGGAATGTACCGTTAATGGGATTATCCCTCCGTGCAGCAGAACTCACCTTTTACATTAAAATACATAACTTTTACATTATTCATTAGTTTTACACGAATGGACGTTCGGTAGATAGCTGGAGGCTGAGCGCATCGTTCGTAAGTTTACCGCTCAGCTCCCAGTCTAACTAACCGAACGCCGTACGAAATACACATAATTTCAACATAGGTTTAAAAATACCGATTATCGTAAGGGGAATGAAACTACCGAACGGCCGAGATTCCCGAACGGCCTGGAAGTCCAGCGGTGTTCGTGCCGTTGAGTAGCCGCTTTTAGTTCCAGGCGACAAAACACCGCTGGGCTAACAAAAGAAACAAAAGAAACAAGATGGCCGACCGCCGCGTGGTCGGTATTCGAACGACGGCACCTAGAAACACTCTTAATTACCGATTGCAACATTGTTGCAATCGGTTAATTGGTGCCACACGACCCCCTGTGTGTGGTCGTGCGTTCGGTAGGTGATTCATTTCACGAACAGGGTTTTAACTCCCCGTTCGTGAAACTTCATTAGAAATGCTGGGGTTTTCCTACCGCCAGCATACGAATGCCCTCATTCGCCTAAAATAAAAATAGCATTGGTTTCTTACAATTTAGCAGCCATACATGCATCTTCATACATAGTCTTTGGTGGCTAGTTTTGCCACACTCTCCGACATTAATGGAGTAAAATTATAGAATTGACATTAAATAGACTATGAAGCCAAAGAACAAATTTCCATTTTCTGCAGAAATCTCACAATGAAAGATTATTTGTTCAGAATATCATTTCAATTGTAAACCCTCTGACTGTGAGCCTCGGAGATACCGTGTGTCATTCCATGTACGTGTAAACCCTCTGACTCTGAGCCTCGGAGATACCGTGCGTCATTCCATGTACGTGTAAACCCTCTGACTCTGAGCCTCGGAGATACCGTGCGTCATTCCATGTTCGTGTAAACCCTCTGACTGTGAGCCTCGGAGATACCGTGCGTCATTCCATGTTCGTGTAAACCCTCTGACTCTGAGCCTCGGAGATACCGTGCGTCATTCCATGTACGTGTAAACCCTCTGACTCTGAGCCTCAGAGATTACCGTGCATCATTCCAAGTAAGTGTAAACCCTCTGACTGTGACCCTCGGAGATACCGTGCGTCATTCCATGTAGGAGTAAACCCTCTGACTCTGAGCCTGGGAGATACTGTGCGTCATTCCATGTACGTGTAAACCCTCTGACTCTGAGCCTCGGAGATACCGTGCGTCATTCCATGTACGTGTAAACCCTCAGACTCTGAGCCTCGGAGATACCATGCGTCATTCCATGTTCGTGTAAACCCTCTGACTCTGAGCCTCGGAGATACCGTGCGTCATTCCATGTTCGTGTAAACCCTCTGACTGTGAGCCTCGGAGATACCGTGCGTCATTCCATGTACGTGTAAACCCTCTGACTCTGAGCCTCGGAGATACCATGCGTCATTCCATGTTCGTGTAAACCCTCTGACTGTGACCCTCGGAGATACCGTGCGTCATTCCATGTTCGTGTAAACCCTCTGACTCTGAGCCTCGGAGATACCGTGCGTCATTCCATGTACGTGTAAACCCTCTGACTGTGACCCTTGGAGATACCGTGCGTCATTCCATGTTCGTGTAAACCCTCTGACTGTGAGCCTCGGAGATACCGTGTGTCATTCCATGTACGTGTAAACCCTCTGACTCTGAGCCTCGGAGATACCGTGCGTCATTCCATGTACGTGTAAACCCTCTGACTCTGAGCCTCGGAGATACCGTGCGTCATTCCATGTTCGTGTAAACCCTCTGACTGTGACCCTCGGAGATACCATGCGTCATTCCATGTAAGTGTAAACCCTCTGACTCTGAGCCTCGGAGATACTGTGCGTCATTCCATGTTCGTGTAAACCCTCTGACTCTGAGCCTCGGAGATACCGTGCGTCATTCCATGTACGTGTAAACCCTCTGACTCTGAGCCTCGGAGATACCGTGCGTCATTCCATGTACGTGTAAACCCTCTGACTCTGAGCCTCGGAGATACCGTGCGTCATTCCATGTTCGTGTAAACCCTCTGACTGTGACCCTCGGAGATACCGTGCGTCATTCCATGTTCGTGTAAACCCTCTGACTCTGAGCCTCGGAGATACCGTGCGTCATTCCATGTTCGTGTAAACCCTCTGACTCTGAGCCTCGAGATATTTGCAAGGCCATTCCGTGGCACGCAGTAAACCTCCTGACTCTGAGCCTGTGAGATGCCTTGCATCATTCCAAGTGTAAAACCCTCTGACTCAGAGAGCCTGGGAGATACCGTACAAGGCCATTCCACATGTAGGAGTAAACCTCTGACTCTGAGCCTGAGATACCGTATGCCATTCCATGTAACGTGGTAAACCCTCTGACCCCTCTGAGCCTCGGAGAGATACCGTATAGCCATTCCATGTACGTGTAAACCCTCAGACTCTGAGCCTCGGAGATACCATGCGTCATTCCATGTTCGTGTAAACCCTCTGACTCTGAGCCTCGGAGATAACGTGCGTCATTCCATGTTCGTGTAAACCCTCTGACTGTGACCCTCGGAGATACCGTGCGTCATTCCATGTACGTGTAAACCCTCTGACTCTGAGCCTCGGAGATACCGTGCGTCATTCCATGTTCGTGTAAACCCTCTGACTCTGAGCCTCGGAGATACCGTGCGTCATTCCATGTACGTGTAAACCCTCTGACTCTGAGCCTCGGAGATACCGTGCTTCATTCCATGTATATGTAAACCCTCTGACTCTGAGCCTCGGAGATACAGTGCGTCATTCCATGTACGTGTAAACCCTCTGACTCTGAGCCTCGGAGATACAGTGCGTCATTCCATGTACGTGTAAACCCTCAGACTCTGAGCCTCGGAGATACCATGCGTCATTCCATGTTCGTGTACAGTGTGTTCAGCCATATACAAAAAGGTTCTCGACTTTTCAGCTGAACTTATGTAGGTTTACATTAATCCCATGTAATTCCTTAGGAACATGCGGGGGGCCGGCTCACTGAGACCCTCACCTGGGTGTGTGGTGGTTAAGGTGTTAAAAACCAGTGTGAGGCAAACAATGGAAGTGACAAGTCCTAAACAAACATTTCCAAATAACCGAATATCAAACAGATCAGTTTGATTGCACTGTTAATATTGGCAACACAAGTTAATTTAGTTTTAGTCAGTCTTTTGACTAAAAAGCCATTTTAGTTTTAGTCGTCATCTTAATTGTTCTAGTTTTAGTCGACTTAATCAAAAATGTTTTAGTTGACTAAAATTGTTAGTTGCCAAAATTAACACTGTTTAATTGGTTGACTGTCCCAGCCAATCACATTGGCCCATTTTATTTTCTTTCACTGTAGTGAATAACCATATGCTCTTTTTCCAGAACAAATCACCGGAGAGCTGTTGGTACTGGCCATGTCTGTATAATTGTGTAACTTTCTACTGTTGCTTTTAGTACTAGTGACTTATATGGTCATATCACGTTTGATGAAGCATAGCTGTGAAAGCTTAATATTGTTCCTGTTGTTCCATGTTATGAGGCCCACAGCAACCTTCGATGGATGAAGATATATGGGATAAGCCGGTGTGTGAATGGACCGTGCAGGATGTGTGTTGCTGGATTCAGGTTGGCCCATTGCAAGATGGAGCAGGTCTGGTCCAGGCTGCCTTCATCAATAACATCTCAGGTATGGACCTACCTGGTAGCAACTCCTGGAGAGAGTGCACGGAGAGTGGGCAATCCATTGCTCGTTTGGCTCTCAGGTGGTACGCTTCGTCCTGTGTCACTGCCTGAGCTGTATGAAGGAGCAATAGGCCTTTTTTTTTTTGTTCTCTCGCAGGTCGGACTCTACTGAGACTGAACGATGAGCTGCTGCAAAGGATGGGAATCCACCAGATGAGTCTGCGAAGGGTCATCTTACTAGAGGTCCTGCAGCTGAAACTCCAACATGAACTACAGGAACTCCTCTACATCACTGTGAGTGAAAGAATGTGCAACTGAGTGTGAGTGGGAGAACCTGCCACTCAGAGTAAGTGGGAGAACCCTCAAATGATGAGTGAGGGACTCTGCCACTACAGATGAGTGAAAAGGCCGAGTGAGAGCACCTGTGGGTGAAGGTGAGTGTGAGCGCCTGTGGATGAAGGTGGGTGAGAGCACCTGTGGGTGAGGGTGAGTAAGAGATCATGCCACTGCATGTAAGAGAAATGACCAATGAGGATAAGTAAGTGGGTGAGTGAAAGAGAGCGAGCGTGAGTGAGTGAGAGATATATGTATTCTTTAACATTTTTTATATATTTTCATACAGGGCAGTTCCTTGACATATGAAAAAACTAAATAGAAAAAATCCTGAAGAGACTTATGGATAGAAATAGTTATTTTGTACTATCTGCAACACAAAATTACCAACCAGAAGCCGACTCTAGTCTTCTCTGCTGTGTATAACTCACATGGACCACCTAAAACACAACTCCAGTCTTTTCTACTGTGTATAACTTACATGGATCACCTAGAACCCATCTACAGTCTTCTCTACTGTGTATAACTCACATGGATCACCTAGAACCCATCTCTGGTCTTCTCTACTGTGTATAACTCAAATGGATTAACTAGAACCCAACTCCAGTCTTTTCTGCTGTGTATAACTCACCTAAAACTGGAATTGAGGTTGAGTCGCAACCATAGTATCCGATCCTCTAAAACCGGAGTCAGACCACCTGGAACAGGAGCTAGATCCCAGATTCCATGAGCAGCAGTTAGATACCATCAATAGGACTTAGATGCCTCGAGCGGGACTTAGATGCCACGAGGGGTAGCTAGAAAACCTATATTAAAAGGGATCTACACTAAACTGAAACTATTTTCACTACAGTTCTACGTTTATTACATTGGGTGGTGAATGAAAGAATCTTACCTATGGGACACTCTGGATTCATAGTTTTCTATTAAACCTTACAAACTCATTTAAACACTAAGCAAGCCCTGAAAAGACTTCATTGTATATTGTCATCTAGCAGTTTGATCAGGGGGAAGATAGTTGTCATTAATAAAGAGGACAATATCCAAGAAGCTATGAGATAGCTGTCAGAACCTGATTCATATGTCAGGTTGCTTGGTCCCCAAACCTCTGAAGTTATAAGTTTAAAGGAAGTGGTCAGTAAAAGCAAAAAAATCAAGAAACCACTGTGGTACTCCGCAGATGTGGCCAAAATAGTTAAAAACAAAAAGTTAGCATTTAGGAATTATAAAAAAAAAAGCCCAGAGTGAGGAAGACCGAATGATCTATGAGATTAGGCAGAAAGAGGCTAAGCAAGTTATAAGGGCTTCCAAATCACACACAGAAGAGAAAATAACACAGTCAGTAAAAAAAGGGGGACAAAACATTTTTTAGATACATAAATGAGAAAAGGAAAGTAAAACAAGGATTAGTTAGATTAAAAACAAAAGAAGGAAGGTATGTAGAAGAGGATAAAGGTCTAGCTGACTGCCTCAATGAATATTTTTGTTCTGTATTTACAGATGAAAATGAAGGAAAGGGACCTCAGTTGAGAAAAAGGATAAATGAGTCATTTTTTACACTTGAGTTTACAGAGGAAGAGGTTCTATTTCAACTGTCAACAGTAAAGATAAATAAGTCAATGGGACCTGATGGAATACACACAAAGCTATTAAAAGAGCTTAGTGGTGTCAGGCAAAACCATTAACAGATGTATTTAACCAATCATTGTTAACAGGAGTAGTCCTAGAAGATTGGAAGTTAGCGAATGTTGTTCCCATTTACAAGAAAGGTAATAGGGAGGAGTGGGGCAACTATAGGCCAGTAAGCCTTACTTCAGTAGTGGGGAAAGTGATGGAAACCATGTTAAAGGATAGGATTGTTGAACATCTAAAAACACATGGATTTCAAGATCAGAGACAACATGGGTTTACTTCAGGGAGATCATGCCAAACTAATCTTATTCATTTTTTTGATTTGGTAACTAAAATAATAGATCAGGGTGGTGCAGTAGACATCTTCAGAAGGATATTGATACCTTAGAGAAGGTTCAGAGAAGGGCTACTAAACTGGTTCATGGATTGCGGGATAAAACTTACCAGGAAAGGTTAAAGGATCTTAACATGTATAGCTTGGAGGAAAGACGAGACGGGGGGACATGATAGAAACATTTAAATATATAAAGGAATCAACACAGTAAAGGAGGAGACTATATTTAAAAGAAGAAAAACTACCACAACAAGAGGACATAGTCTTAAATTAGAGGGACAAAGGTTTAAAAATAATATCAGGAAGTATTACTTTACTGAGAGGGTAGTGGATGCATGAATAGCCTTCCAGCTGAAGTGGTAGAGGTTAACACAGTAAAGGAGTTTAAGCATGCGTGGGATAGGCATAAGGCTATCCTAACTATAAGATAAGACTAGGGACTAATGAAAGTATTTAGAAAATTGGGCAGACTAGATGGGCCAAATGGTTCTTATCTGCCGCCACATTATATGTGTCTATGGTCAACTGGGGATTTTTGGTGATCAAAATAAAGGAGAGGAATTATTTGATTAAATCTTGTCTCATTATCTGTGGCGGACACCCCGATCTGTCACACTATCATCTCCCAAAGATCCATAAATCAGTGCACAACCATTTGGACCTTCCGATGTGTCTGGGGTCTTTCTGAGTGGGTGGTTATACATTTTATATGTTTACAAACTTTACAGATCAAAATAGCTGAAGTGGAAGAATACTCCAAACCACGTATGCTTTAAGTTCAACTATTTGGGCCTTAAATGTGAAATGCACCTTGAATTCATTTTGATATCGCAGTTTAGTAAAACGTTTGGAAGTTGGAAAGTACCTTAGTAGAAGTACTAAGCATGTTTTTCGGGGTGTGGGAAATGTAAGTTGGAATAGTAATTATCGTAATAAATACTCTGCCCTTAAATCAATCTGATGGTCTGTCCCTTTTGGGTGTGGACCACTTTGGGTGTATTCATATTGTTTCTCACCTATCCTGTTAGCTTTCTTTTTCTGTCCTTTCACTGCCATCTCCAGGACTTACAGCCTTTCTTCTTCTGCAATACCTTACCTCGCTGTGTCAGATTCTTACCACATTCCACAGCTTCAAACAAACTCTGAAAGCTACCAATTCAGAGACACTTACCACTTATCCTGTAAAACTTACCATACAAGTTTCAGAGAGTCTCTGCCAGACCAGTAGCTTTCAGCGTACGGTTTATGGTGTAAAGATAAAATGAGACCATGGCCTCCAGCCTCCATTGTGCTGGACAGCATGTTCTGATGCCATGTCCCGTTACAGGCCATTGATCCAACGGCTAATTTCCCTGTGGCCAATCTGGGACTATCACCATTTGTCACACTCCGTGTCAGACATAGCCTTGTGTAAAAATGGAAATAAAAAAAACCATCATAGTAAAAAAAATTGTCTACAATATTCTACAGATACAAATACAGTGCAATGTCACCATGCACTGTGTCACTGGCTATCTCCCTCTCTCGCCCACCTACCTCCTGTCCCGAATGGAGGTATGTGTCTCTGTGATTGCTTTAAATTTAACATTACACAGCCTGGCAAGGGGTTTTGGACAAATAACTGCTTCCATTTCCAAGGTGCCAACATGTATCATAGCGCCCTGACAACGACAGATTTACTTTTCAAAAATCTATAAACGTTCTCAATATTTGAAAATGTCAACGCATCAGTGGAGAATGTGCTCATCACATATGGTCAACGATTTCATTTTTTTTCCTTTTACAAATTTTGGAAGCTTATTTGGGCAGCCAGGACAGCAGGGAAATGCTGGTCCTGATTGTTCTGACAAGCTGTATTGCTGGGCTGAATGGCTAAGCAATATCAAGAGTTTTTGCAATGCCAGTTCTGAGTTGCTAAATTTTATCACATGACAGTGTTGTAGATAATTTACTGCAAACCAATTAGTTTGAATGACTATCTGTTCCTGTCCAAATTAAAGATAGTAAAGTTGCGTGCACGCAGAAGTAAATTCACACTGAGACACAGAGTTCAGGTTAATGAAAGAACTTCGGAGAAGTTTAATGGCTTCTAACAGAAAATGGGTGCGCAGACCCTTTTAAAGGCATTATTACATCACTGAAGAATTCAAGATAACAGCAAATAGACACTATTGATTGGTCCAGGTGTTAAGTGGTTAGTTAGATGCCCTCCTATCAAGAGGTGATGTCATCCTTGACACGGGGGTGGACACAAGATGTAGGCGCCATCTTATTAGCACGAGGTGTTCACTCGATGGGAGGGGTGCTTTGGCAGCCATTTTGAGTAGTTAGTATTGTTAGTTTCAAGGTCCTTTTAGTAAATACACATTTTATTATTCAGCACATTTCTTCCTGCCAAAGCATTAGCTTAGATAATTTCAAGAATTCTATAATTCTACAACAACAGGAGGCTTCATATTTTGCATAACTTTGTTTACTTTATGCCTCCAGCAGCACAAGTCAATCAATAAACTTTAAACCAATCAGTAACAGGCATCACATCCATATATAAAGCCCTGACAGACACATGACTTCCTATTTCTTTGCTGCTTCCAGCCAAGGCACAGGTCAGAGTATTTTGCTGTTTTTAATAATATTGCAATGGTCACTTTAATTAAACTTTATTACTTGACTTTCAATTTGCTCCAACTGTTTTTATTAATATGGTCACCCAAGTTAGATTTTTAATGCTAGACATTCAGTTTTGCTCCAAACTGTTTCTGGATATGCATGTCCTGCATTTTTGACCTAAACGTTTTTCATTGTTATGCAAAAAAGGACACAGTAGTGGAGGCACATAACGGAGTGATTAACACCCTTACGCTGGGTGACCCCCAAGCGTGGCAGACACCTCTCCAAAGTGACATTGTGGTAAAGGGGTGAACCCCCCTTAAGCTGGGTGACCCCCAAGCAAATCTGGTTCCTGTCTTAGTGACATACATATACTGGGGTGAACCCCCTACGCTGGGTGAACCCCAAGCGAATCTTATTCCGGTACTAGTGACATACATATACTGGGGGGAACCCCCACTCCCTAGGATGGGCTCATTTCCCCAGAGTACGATCTGTTACTGTATGCACAGACCCGGACACACTGGATACATGTATATCAACAGAGCCAGGAAGGAGAGCTCACAGTGCTGCCAATTCTCCACAGTACTATATCCCATAAGGGTGACCCCTTGGATAATTTGGAGGCTACGTCCCGACATTACTGACCGCTCATCCTGGTCTTATTGAGGGTGACTGTAACGGATCACCTGGCACCCCGACTGGGTACCTCTGTTGATGGATGCTCCTAGCGCTTCTTAAGGATT